CCTGCTCTGGCAGGGGGGTTGGACTAGATGATCTTTCGAGGTCCCTTCCAACCCCTATGATTCTATGATTCTATGATTCTATGATTTATGAATTTATTCAAGAATGACTCAAAAACACAGATCAGATTAATTCTTCTTTCTTTTTCTTCCACCAGTTAGACTCCCTTCTTTCTGAAGAGATCCATGCTTATGTCACATGCATGTGTGTAGAAGGGAGATTGTCTTCCCTTTCCTCATAGTATTCTAATCCTTTGACTGGTTTTAACAAGTTTTAGAAGGATGGCGGTCTCAAAGGCATTCAGTTTCCTGATACTTTTAGCAAAATTGGTGGCTAGGCAAATAACAGATTCCCAAATCAGTTGATTTTTCTGAGGAAAATAATATGATAGGAGCTCAGTCAGTGCCCGACCTTGAGAATCCAGTCAAAGGAGAGATATTACAGACTTTTCTAACTGCTGGAAAAGCTGATGTGAATTTCAGCTGTTAATAGACAACATATATACCACACATGAATAAAGCAAGCCCTCTCTCCTGTTTTGAGTCTCTGATATCTGAGGAGAGGAAAAGAAAGCTTTCACAACTGTTTTCTCCTTGAACTTTTACTAAAACTCAACCAAAAAGGTCAACTTCATTAGATGTGTTTTAAAGTAGGTTTCAGGAGTTCTGCTTATCAAGGAGTTATTAACTAAATATCTCAGAGTATTTGAACAAATCTCATGATCTGGTGGGGGCCTTAACTCTCATGCCTTTGAGTGCTTTGAGTTTTCTAGTTGTGAAGTGGTCACTGAGCAATACTGATCACATATCCCCTTTAGGACTTTACTTCTGAAAGTTACACAAATTTCTGAAAAGGGAAACCTGCTTTTTGCCAAACAATTAATTCTGCATGTTTAATTTCCTGGGTGAAAAGGGGACCTGGAAAATTGTTATGCAGAGGATTTGGTTCTCACTCTTTAATGGGTAGAGTGTGAGTGATAATTAGCAGGTGCCAATTAAAATTACCACAGATAATTTTTTGTAATTACCACACATATTCTGGAAGTAGGGCCTACGCTCCATGCCTAATAGCACTCATCTGTCTGCCTTTCCTCATTTTCAGATTCAAGGATTCAACATTGAAAACAACCACTTTTCCTATGCAAGTGACTGTACAGGTTTCTTCACTCCTGGAATCTGGATGGGCTTGGTGACATCTGTAGTTTTACTGTGGATCCTGGCCTATGGAATCCATATGATCATGCAGCTCACAACAAACAGCAGATTTGATGATCCCAAAGGTCCAGCTTTGTCAGTTCCTCAGACAGAATAGTCATGGATTGACTTAGTATTGCTATGGCTTTTCCTAATCTGATATTTATGATTTTTATAGCCTTTCTACTTCATGATACGTGTAGCCTAAAAAGATATAATAGCTGAAATGTATAAGTGAACTAAAGGATCCTTATGCTTGACATAATAATTCTACTTATTATTACTGTCATTTGTTAACAGCTGTCTGTGTGAAGGGGCTGAGGTAAGGCTGTAGGGGTTGTTACTCTACCTGGCTATTAGAAAGACCATTACAAACTGCCTTCAGATTATCTTTTATTGGCCAAGAAATGATATCACAAAAGAGAAAAAATGGCAAGGATAAATAACTTATTCGATAGGAAAGTATTTATTGAAACTACTGATCCCTTGGAAGGATCTTTATCAAGTATGTCATGTTTATGCTGCATCTAAAGAAGGCTAAACTATGCCATCTTATTTGTTTCTCTTGAGAAAACCAACCAGAAACGTACAGAGCTAATAAAGTATAAGTCACTAAATAAATGGTCTTGAAATGTCATTTCAAAATGCATCACTTTGTTCAGATGTGATATCACAAAAGTGAATGGGTGGACCAAGGGTTAGGTTCCCTTTAATGTTATCTTCTGCCTGTGAGAATTATGTTAAGTAGCAGTAACTCATGTGTCTGTTTCAGCCATGGACAGGTGATGGAGTTACTAACCAAGACAGGTCCTTGACCAAACTGATCCCAAGATTGTATGTGGTGTCATGGCAATGAGTGCAACTTCTCAAGCTCATAACCTAGTATGATTCCATGTCTAAGTGCAGACAGCATCTTACCAGAGATAAGGTAATTTTCTTAGCATCCCTCCTTTTCCAGGTGCTTTTGGAGTAGCTGTGATGTTTGTAGAAAAAAAAGGGGAAAAAATTATATACACTTATTAGAAGCACTGTGCTTAAGTACTGTTTAAATATGAACATGTTTATGGTCATCTCAGAGATTCCAGAAGCCTGGAAACATTCAGAGTGTGCTGAATTCTTCTTCAATTAATAAGATGCTACATCACCTCACTGGGCAACCTGACTGTGGAGTAAATTACTAAATGTTATGAAAAACTAGGAAATAGGAAAAAAGCAATAGTAAAATGGTAAGAAAAAAAATGGTTAAAATAACATTTTCATTCTTTCTTCCAAAATATTTTGTTAGGACTGTACACGTTTGATTAGTAGTTAGAGACCAAAAAGATACCATTTTGACAAAATTACATGTCTCATGAGAAAAATTCTAAATTTTCTGATCTTGATCTATATCATATAGTTTTCTTTGCAAATATTAGAATAGACAACTGGACTTGTTTTGTTAATTCTCCTTTCAAAGCAAGCGACACAAATGTTATGACTGAAAATTGATACAGTAACACAACTGATAGCTAAAAGAAAGTGAGCCCACTAGAGAGGACTTGGTTTGTAAAAGACAGCTTTCTTATGACTTTTATCTAGATTCAACAAAATTTGGAACAGATTTTGTTCAATAGTGGTGATATATAGGCACTGAAGAATGGCTTTACAATGCCACTCACCTCAGGGTCCTATCTCTGCAGTGGTATGAGTATAGACAGCACACGGTAGTGCTTCCTTCAGTTGTTCTTCCATTCTCCATCATTTAAGCTCAGGAACTTCCTTAGCCAAAGGTGGTGTCTTTGTATTTAATAATTCTGTGTGTAGTTATAGTCCATGAATTTCTCTTGATCCCACGGACTTTCCTAGAGCTCACAGTGTCCATATTGTAGTGTGGCACTCAAGATACCGGTATTCTCTCTTGCTTGCCTGAGCTGGACTTTGGAGAAGAAGAGAAAGAAACCATCTTGTGTAGGCTGTACCATGGAGAAGAGATAAGCCTCTTTCACATGAGGTCAAACTGGAAGACATGTTGGAAGAAATATTTGTTGGATCAGTTTTTCAGTGAGTCAATAAAACTGAAGCCCTCAGAAAAGGGCCAGACTGAGCTGTCTGTTGTGTTTGATATGAAACATTCCAAGGTGAAGGGGAAGGCATTCTGGGGGGGAGAAAAGCTTTTTCTTTCTTCCTTCTCTGACAACAATGATACCATGGATGCTTTGGCAAGTAGGTCCTGTGGGGCCATATAGGCTGTTTCTATAGTGAGTCTGGATATCCCTGTGATGGAAAGCTCAAGCCACATGTTGTAGCTTTTGGTGTGGTAGCGTTACACTTGTGAAGTCTCTGCTGGGAAGAGCAGAAAAGGAAGGGAGCTGCCTACAGCCCTAGCTGCCCTGGGGAACCAGGTGGACTGAGCTCTGGGGACAATGACCAGTCCCTCTTAGAGGAGGATCAACTGCTCTCTGTTAGCAGATCTTCTACAGATCTGTTGATCTGTAGAAGAGGATCAACAGATGTGTTGGGTTGATCTTGGCTGGCTGGCAGATGCCCACCCAGCCATTCTGTCTTTTTCTTAGAGGCCACTCTGCTGCCAACACCTGGATATGGGCATTCAGTACAGCACCTCAGGGAGCTATGTGTGCTACTGGAGTCCCTGTGCCATTTTGAACCCCTGCAGCTGCACATCACAGTACCCTGTGGCTAGAGACAAAGACAACTGATCGCTGGTTTCAGCAGGGCTGGATTCCTTTCTTAACAGGGCCTTCAAATGGCGCTGGGCCTCCAGAAGTTCTACAAGGATTTTGCACCTGCCCGTGGTTTCCTACCTTTCTGAATAAAGTTAGAAACCTGTCAGGGGCCTTCCAGTTCTGTGTACTTCTGATTTCACAATTCAGCTTAATCACAAGTATACTTGTTAAAACATGCCTGCTTTGGGAGCTGTTCCAGCCAGAGTATTAGCCCTGTCTGGAAGGTGTGAGCCTCTAGGACTTCCCCTAGAGCTCACTGAAGTTATCAGAAGTACTCACTGTAACGAGTGCTAGCTCGTTTTTCTACAAAGTACAAAAAAAAAAATTCAAATATGGAGGCAATGATGGAAAAAGCATCAGTTAGAAAACTAGAAGCTTTTTTTTTCCTTCAAATGTATAAATAAATGACACTTTATCAAGGAAAACAAAGGTCAGAAGCTATCAAAAATTTATGGCAAACCTGGAAAAAAATCAGTTTTACAGTGTGAAAAATCAAGATTAGAACGATAGAAAACCCAAACCTAAACACAAAAGTCCTGAAGCCATAACTTAAGGTATTTCTTCACAAAATTCAGCAATGATCATTTGTTGGAAGGGAGAGCTGAGATGGTACTAAAACCTCAACCTTCTGGCCTGATACAGGTTTGGTGTGTGCCCTGATCTGTTGGCTTCTCTGTTTGTAAAATGACTTATTCACAAATCATGTGAAAACCCAGCAATGATTTGCAATGAAACACAACTACAATAGAAATAATCCAAGAGTAGCATTTTTATGTAGGCAGTAAAGAAAGAAAGAAATTCCATCTGTCAAGGGAGGACTCAATGAAGTAATTGGCTTCTCCTTCCTTCTGGGTGACTGGTAAATAATTAATATGCAAATCTAAATCATCTGAATCAGCTCTGTAATTATTTCAGCATAAACTGGAGTCAAGCAGGGGAAACTAGAGATGCTGAAAACAAACAATGACCATGAGAAGTTAGCTTCTAAGATTATCAGAGATACAAGCAGCAGCCTGAATGTTGGATACGGGTCACTGCTGGGAAAAAAACAAAGCAGTAGGTGGTGATGCTTGTGGGGGCCAATGTAGTGATGGTATCATTCTTACACAGGACAAGAGGGTGAGACAACTCACACAAGGGGAGCACAGGCTCCTTTTCCTGCAGCCTGCTTTCTCTGTACCATCCTGTGGTGGGTTGACCTTGGCCAGCTGCCAGACACCCACTCAGCTGCACTCTGGCTCCTCCTCCTCATCCACAGGACAGGAGGAGACGATAAGATGGAGAAGCTTGTGGGTCAAGATAAAGGCAGGAACACCACTTACCAGTTACTATTGTGGGCTAAAAAGATTTATGGAAGATTAATTTATTGCCAATCAAAATAGTTTTGTAGGGGGAAACAAACCCAAAATTAAAACAATACCTTCAGCCTGCTCAGATGCCAAAAAATCCTGTGATGTCTAATATCTTCCGGTAAAGGAACCTGACTGTCAGTTTGCTAATAAAGGTTCTGCTCTCAGAGTAATCTATTCCCTATCAAAACTTAATGCAAAATCAAGGAGAAAAGAGTTATTTCATCAGAACTTGGATTTCTAAAGGCTTAAAAATTATTGAAGGGGGGTGTGGGGGAGGAAGAAAAAAGAAAAAAAGCAATCTTGCCAAGGGGTGGTTCCCTGAGTAAGTCTCTCATTTCCACAAAGTGAGATGGTGTCTTTCTTAGTCTTCCTACACGCGTGGGTGGAAAGGAGACTTACAACACTGACTGAACACAAGAGCAAAACACCTGCTATTGATGTCTCACAAATGAAGTGGCTTCCTTACCTTCACCACAACTCTTTGTATGCCTCCTGTTTGAACACAGGTTCCCTGCTCCGGATTGGCTGGATTTCTGTATAACTTCTGGACCTGGTATGTTCTTGAATTATTATAGTTGAACTTAGTTTTAGATGGCTTTATGTATCATTCATTATTGCCATAATAGAAGACAGTTTGTTGAATGATCATGTATTTTCTGCATTGCAAATCATAGTGTGGGTGTCTAGTGAAAGACTGGGGAACCCATTTTGAGTCTGTCTTAACACTCCTTTAACTAGTTGTTTAGAAGTTGTGTAAAATGACTGGTTACAGTCTCTGTGACATCATGCACAATTTTCTTTAATGAAAACTGCAAAAATAATGTTTACAACAACGACAAAAACACGTTCATAAAAGTATCTTTCAAAGGTGGATAAGTTAAGGACTTTCTGATGTTATGGTTTAATTACAATTTTGTGTATCCTATTTAAATAAATACGGATACATATAGATAGCAGAATTTAGCTGCTAAATAAAATTAAATAGCTAGTAGACTTTAGCTATTTAACAGATAACCCTCTCTGAAGCATACTGGTATGATTTGAGACAGTATGGTCCCTATCTACCCTGCCTTTCATTCACGTACACTTGTGCCTCAGCTGTTCATTAAGTTAACACT